TAGGGTTAGGATTAGGTTTTAGGGTTTAAGGCTAGGGTTAGGGTTATGCCATATATCATTGATGTTAATAAAGTTCTATAACATGTCATAGATCATCGATGTTAGTGAACAGTAAACGTAAAGAAATTTGTCAAAGTCATCTTTATTAGTAAACCTTTTGAAATATGCAGGAAGTGTTGATGGTTACAGTTTTATATAATTGATTCTAGCCCTTGTAACTTATCTTTGAAATATATACATTTATATTTTTATATTACTACGACTGACTGACATAAATCATCAATATAAAAGACAGTGCTTTTGATATTTTGAATTATTCATTTTGACTGATTTTTTAAATTATACTAAATCTACCAATAAACACAAGACAATTACGTCAAGCTAACGGCATAGCAGAAGAAAAGGGAGATGTGGTGTGATTGACAATGTGACCTATATCCACAAAAGACAAGGTAACAAGCTGTAAGATTGCAGATTGAACAACTATTCTGGTATTTACGACTGCGAAAACCGATAGTGAGTTGAGACATGCACAAATCGTATTGGTGAACCAATTCGTGATAGAGTGCATACAATGTATGAAGTGTCTATTTCAGTCGTTCTTCTTCATCATCCTGTTTGAGATTTTCTGTAAGGAGCACACCCCTGCTAATGAAGTCTGTATAGTCTAAAAGTGCACGAGCGCAACTTATCGATTTTATGTGTAAACACCATACGATAGGGCATATGAGCTGTTTCCTTTGAGAAATGGGAAGTTGATAATTCGAAAATTGAAATAGTCCAGTTTGTCATATATGTAATAGAAGTCGTCATTTGAGTCAATATCGAGAAAAAGATCAACATACAAAGCAGTCATTCTAGTTTGGTGGTATTTTTATGTTCATGGGGAGTGGATCCGTTTATCTTGGATCTATAATTCAGTGTTTTCACAATTCTTCTTCTAACAAAACATGACGAATAACTCTATGGACAATGAGCATAGGCTAGCTATCAAATCAGGTTTAATCCACAATTTTCCACATAGAAAAATGCCTATACCAAGTCAGTTGTAATCCATTCGTTTGATGTGTTTGAGCTTTTTATTTTGCCATTTGCTTTGGGACTTTCCGTTTAGAATTTCCCTCGAAGTGCGTTTTTATTTGTTGTTTTACTTTTCTGTTGGACAATGTGGATAAAGACCCGTAACTTGCGATACTATTTTCAGCAATCACATCTTACTGAGTTAACAGTAGATCATAACATTGTTATAAAGGAATATTATCAGGATTTTTTTCGAGTTATATCAATTGAATAATTGAAGACATATCCTTTAATGCATGTACCAAAGGCACTTGTGACTTTAAACAATGTCAAAACAAGATGAACAAAAAAACTTGTAACTGATTCTCTTGGATTCAAAATTACAGTTTCATAATAATTTAGGCACGTTTCTGTATAGAAATATCATCCAGATCTAAAATATTTCTACACACATGTAATATTCGAGCATAGACTGTATATATAGTTTATATCTCCAAGTTCAAGCGATATTCCCAAGCATCCTGTCATTGTTTTCTTTATAGAGAAATGCTGCTTCCTGTGAAGCTATTAAACCATAGGTTTTGAGAGGTAAAGTTGAAGTTTTCCCTTCAAAATTTTTATTAACGCTATTATGAATTGGTTGCCTTTTACGGAATATATGTATCCAAAATGACCGAAGATATGTTCCAATTGCAATAACAACAATCCCGTTATCTTTTTTTTTTTTTTGTATAATACCGTACAGCGGGCTATTTTCGCGGGTGTGAAATTTCGCGATTCAGGGGCAACAACGTATACGGCAACATTTGGCAAAATCTTCATCCCAAATAAATTTTTAGGCGGATACTGATATGGTTGCAGTTAAAAAGCTGTAAAAATTGACAAGTGTCTATTGATTTGTTCAGGAACTTTCCTTTTTGAATTTTTCTCGGAGTTCAGTATTTTTGTGATTTTACTTTTGGTATGGTCAAATGATTGTTTTACCTGCCGTCTTATCTATTGATTATATTTTGGTACAGTTAACATTACAGTTAATCTATAGAATACGGTACAGTTAATCTATAGAATACAGGTACTTGAATATTTGTCACAGATGTACAAATCTCTGGTAAATGTTACGGTTGCTTAGTTATTTCCTTAATTGACCGGACCTTTTATGTACTTATTAAATCGTAAAATTATCATAAGTGACTTGCAACTCTTATGTAATTTGACACTAATTAATAAGGATAAAATACCTGAAAGAAACGTATCTTAAATTTTTGCGGAATTTAATTAAGCGGTTTCCCATTACCCGCCAAAATAAGCGAAAAAAAACACCACACGAAAATAACCCGCTATACGGTAGTTGTCGGTTTCCTTTCGGTTTATGAAATTTAATAGTTACTTTGGTATCTTCCTTTTCATTTTGTTATATCCGTGTCTATAGTGACGTGTTGGTAGTCCATTGACGTATGTTAAATATAACAGGTAATTTATGACAGTGATATGATTAATTGAATACATTTATTCAGTTCTCTACGGATAAATGTAGGCAAGGATTATCTAGCGGATTTGATTGTTAGTCTACATTAGTCATATACCTTTTCAGGTATTCAGGCATTCATACCTCTTTGTTTGTCAGCCTTGCTGATTAAGTTGCATCATGAATAAACAAAAAAAAAACACTGAAGACGCAGCAGGTTCATGAACATATTAAATTCATTTTTTATTTCTTAATTGAATGTCCCAAAAGCAATCAAAGTCCCATACATGTACATGTATTCGTTCGCTTGTATAAGGTAGATGTCACTCCGATGAAACTCAAATGAAATATCAATTTGTTTACACAGTGGGTCATTGCCGATGGTGTCAGACTTTTTGTTCTCGATGGTATCATCACTTCAAAACTCTGTGTTTTTGAACAGACAATATCAATAAGACATTTTTATAGAATTATCTATTGATAAACTTAAGATATTATTAAGAGACTGAGACTCAAACTCCCTTGAGAAAAATTGATTAGGTGAATTATTAAAAGATCACAAACTAAGAAAAGATTCATGATACCTTGAGCAAACTAGATTTTGAAATAATCAATTTATCATTGCAGCAAGATCATTGAATATTATCTTTTTCATTATTAACATTCAACTATTTTCAAAATGTAATACACAACTGAAAATACATGCTGATCAGGAATAAACACATATGTAGACACTTATACTTTGGCATAAACGAATTTCGTTTTGATTGACCAATACCCTGTGTGCTACCATTTGGTTCATATTATTTGTGCTTCAAATACATTATGATCAGTTTGCCCTGTTGCACTATTTTGTTTTTCAGTGTTTTCCTTTTATTTTGTTACATCCCTGCCCCAGCTTAGGAGGGCAATTGAATGCCTTCAAACATGTTTTACCCAACGACGTTCCTTATGTGCCTGTTAAAGAAATTTGGGAACATGTCGTCCAATACTTGTTGTTAGATGCTGTCTGTCATAATGGTTTTAAATAGTGCAAGGATAAGGCTACTATAAAAAAAGATCAATGCTGATAATTTCTCTGTAATTAATGCTGGGCGAAGTTGTCAAAGAACAACACAAAAAAATGTTTTCAATGGATAAATCTATGGTATGTCAAAACACGTATGCTATTAAAAGAGAGGCGAAAGATACCAGAGGGACATTCAAACTCATAAATCGAAAATAAACTGACAACGCCATGACTAAAAAAGAAAAAGACACATAGACACACAAAAGTACACAAAACACAACATAGAAAAATAAAGACAAAGTAACATGGACCCCACAACTGGGGGTGATCTCATGTGCTTCGGAAGGGTAAGCAAATCCTGCTTCAAATGTGGCACCCGTCGTGTTGCTCATGTTTGTAATAAACCGGAAATTCGGTAGGTCACAATCGTGAAAAGGGAACGGGATTGTAGTTACGACATAAGGAACATTACGGAATCAATGAATAATGAACAGCGATGATGAATGAATGTTTAACAGTACGAAAGTGATACCTGCATTTATTTCAAACATGCTGATTTGATACCTTTATAAATAACCTTGACGTTGAATATGAAATTGAGAATGGAAATGGGGAATGTGTCAAAGAGACAACAATCCGACCAAAGAGCAGATAACAGCCAAAGGCCACCAATGGGTCTTCAGTGCAACGAGAAAATCCCGCACCCGGAGGCGTGCTTCAGCTGGCCCCTAAACAAAACGTATGCTAGTTCAGTGAGAATGGACGTCATACTAAACTCCGAAATATATAAAAGATACTAAAAATCATACAAGACTAACAAAGGCCAGAGGCTCCTGAATTGGGACAGGCGCAAAAATGCGGAGGGGTTAAACATGTTTTAATGAGATCTCAACCCTCCCCCTATACCTCTAGCAAATGTAGAAAAAACAAACACACAACAATACAGTAAAACTCAGTTTAAAAGAAGTCGGAGTCCGATATCAGAAAAGATAACAAAAGAAACTAAACAAATGACAATGATACATAAATTAACAAAGGACTACTAGCAGTTACTGACATGCCAGCTCCATATCTCAATTAAAATGATTGAAAGATTATGTCTTCATCATATGAATATCAGGCACAATCCCTCCCGTTAGGTGTTTAGTATCATACCATCATAAAATATATGAGAAGAATATAACCCGTATCATGCCAACAACTGGTTTTAGAATAAATGTGTTTATATCCAATGCAAAGACCCTATAAGTGAATCAATATTAAAGCAAAAATATGCAATCTTTAATGACCTGACAACAGTATCGTAACTATATCCCTTATTTATTTTACATGAGATTCTGAGAACAAATTAAAGAGATCTTCTGACTATAGTTGAAATTATTCTACTGTATTACCAATGCCACACGCACGTCTATCGTATATTTAACCCTGAAGCTGATACTAAGCTATGTGTTATTGTATTTAACTTTATTATGTTTCTGTTGATAATTTTCTTTTCAGTTTACCTTCTGCACTGGGTGAACTCAATCCTGACATACTGCAAGCGTTCAGATGATGGATTTCCAAGAATAGTGTTCGTTGCAACACATAAAGACAAGATCCGTAAGGTACTGTATTTCTTTAAATGTTGAATTTAAATGAGTGACCTTCTGCGTTCAAAGTTTAACGCGTTTCGCTTCCAAATGGTAAACTTAATATTTGTAATGATTTTTTACAATAATTATTACGAATGGTTTGCACTTGAATTTGTCATCTTTGATTGCAGAAATATCATCCTGAGTCATTCGTTGTATAAAAAAAAACACGACATCTGTACCAGGTTCACTGATTATTTGAAGTATTTCATCATCAAAATATAGAATCAAACAATTAAAGGTAAACATTTTGAAAACTGCTCACAGAAAAACAACAAACACAACAGCAAATTAAAAAGTTGAATTAACATGTTTAACAAAATGATGTCTATTTACAAATGTTCAAACATGATAAATTACAAACATATATGCAAAAACAAGTGTTTTATTGAGAGGCAACAGTATTCAACCGATGTTCAAATAGCCAAATTATGTACAGAGAATGCAAATAAAAATAAAACGTGAAATCAAAACCTGAGGGAATCGTTTGAACTCAAAAAGGAGCGAGACAGGATTCGCTGATAAGATACACATGTCTTATAATGCATTTTGCACATGCCTGTTCGAATCACATCGTTGATAATGTCTAGATATTGAATAGGACAATCGGTTGGAAAAATCACTTTTTACGATACCTAAAGAACTTAAACTGCGAAACATTATCGCTAGTGTGTGAAAACCGATACCCACCATATCGGTTAACTAATTTTCTGGCTGACCGAACACTTTATAGAGATTCAATTTCCGTCATTCTCCCTTATACTTTTGATGGAACATTTTTTTGTGTCAATAGCATATTAACGAAGTCAAACGAGAAATGCAATGAAAATTCAAAGATTGAAAATCGTCCGAGGTCATTGTTATTAACTCGTTTTCACTTAAGCATCTAACCCCGCCGCATGTCCCAAGTCAGGACCCTCTGGCCTTTGTTAGTCTTGTATGATTTTTAATTTTAGTTCATTCATATACTTCGGAGTTTAGTATGACGTCCATTATCACTGAACAAGTACACATTTTTGTTAAGGGGCCAGCTGGAGCACGCCTCCGGGTTCGGGATTTTCTTGCTGTATTGAAAACCCATTGATGACCTTCGGCTGTTTTCTGCTCTTTGGTCGGGTTGTTGTGTCTTTGACACATTCCCCATTTCCGTTCTCAATTTTGTCTATCATATTATGTGTTCAGGAATTGTTGACTTTTTTCTACGGAATTCACGGATAAATATGAATAAAGAGCAACTATCAGAAGCACTAGAGTGTTATTATTCATTTTCCAAACTGTTTTTGCAGTAGAGTTTATTATGCTTTTTGTTCCACTATTTTTAGGTCCCTGTTCACTTGTTGAAAACTGATCACACTTGTGAAACTCATAAAATCTTTAAGAACATTACAATTTAATTAATCATGTTAATGTTTTGCACTTATTTCTTTGATGTTATATCTTTCACGACTGCTATTAGTAAAACAAAGTAACTGTGAAAAGCATATTGATTTCTGACTTCAACCATACATTTTTTTCAGAATTTTGAGAAGCACAAACAGAAAGTGATGACAGTCATTCAAGATATATTTGAATCACACGCAGGGCTCAAACATCTTGAATTCAAACCACTGATTTTCGTCAATGCTATGAACGAAGCGGATCCAGAGATCCAAGCATTACGTCAACGTCTGATGGATAGAGCTAAAGAGCATCCTCGGTGGGGTGAACAAATGCCAACAGCATGGGTCCCATTAGAACTACATCTAGCAAAACAAGTAGAGAAAGGTGTCAACATATTGACAATAGAACAACTACAGATGTTTAATTCTCAAAATCAGTCAATGGTATTGACAGATAATCAGTTGGAAACTTTCCTTAAAGTACAACATTCACTCGGTAAATTGCTCTACTTTGACGTAGCCAATCTTCGAGATTTTATAATCATAGCACCAGCATATTTGGTGGAGGTTCTAAGATCTATTGTCACAGAGAAGCAATTTTGGCCAAAAGGGAAACAATTACAAAGTATTTTCCATACCATGGAGAAAACAGGAGCACTCAGTCGCGACGATATTGATGTCCTTTGGAAACAACAGATGTTTGAGCATATTCTTTCATATAAAGATTTCATTATTGAAGTATTGGTTCATCTTGATGTATTAGTTGCTGAAAGAATGACAACAAACGATTTAAGCACGTCACCTCATAAAGTTTCGAAATTTATTGTTCCATCAATGATTACAAGGCCAAACAACACGAATTACCTGAGAACAAATTGCAAGATTGAAACTTCAATTTTGCTGTCGTACAAGTTCACTGAGAAAGTAATACCACCAGCCTTTCCATATCGATTGATTGCTTCTTTTGTAGACATGTGGGGAGTGAAAAAGTATAAAAACAAGAAGCGAATGCTTTTCAGCGATTTAGCAGTTGTGGAAGTAGACGATAAGCATGATGTGGCAGTGCAGGTTATAGAAAATAGAGTGATTGTGTCACTTATCCATGCAGAAACGAAAGAGCACATTGTCCCAACAATTGCAACTTCTGTTCAAGAATGTCTGACTGCAGCTATTCACAGAATTTCAGAATTTTACTCAACTCTTTCAGCAGACTCATCTACCACAGATAAAAGATCGGAGTTACATATGGTCATGCCATTTGAAATTGAGTTTGGAGTTCATTGCAAAAAAAACTTATGTTTTTTTCTTCATAACAAAATACCAACAGCAACAAAATGGCAATGTTCAGAACACAAAGTATATCACGATGTCAGTTGTTTAAAATTATGGTTTTCAGAAAAGGTAAGATAACAATTTTGCTTTTTCCCTTTGCTAGTGTTTGTGAGATGTTCAATTTATTTCGTAAAAATAACGTTGACGCCAATACAAAGAACTTGTTATCAGTTCAACGTCATCATCTCCCTAATCACCCCAAGTGCTTTAAATATTAAAATTTAACTGTCTCGAGTGGAGAAATATCGTGACACACTTGTTGCACTGTTGGAATCTATATTTATACTATGAGATAACAATTGGTAATTCCAAGATAAAATTGACATTTAGAAAAAAGGAAATTAAACTGACAGATGAATAAGAGTCAGGTACACATTTAGAATGTTATTAACAAAAAAAAAAACTTTCTTGATTTTTTTTTGAGTTTCACACTATTGAACGTTTGTTTGGTCCTTCTCCTTCAATAAATAACAACTGTTAGTAATATCTGAATATCAAAATGTCTTCCTCTTTTTATTGCTAATGTTATTTATCACTAATTCTTAGTTTGGTGATCTTGTTGCTCTATATAAATGTTAGTGTAATTATGAATGGTCATCCTCCTTAAATGAATTACAACATTTTGTTATATCTGGAATATTGAAATGTCTTCTTCCTTCTATTGGTAAGGTGTGGTATCACTAATTCTTAGTTTGGTGATCTTGTTGCTATATATAAACTTTTCATTTCGATTAACACAATATTTAAATTATTTACTCCTCTTTCTACTTTTTCAAATATTTTTTATTCATGCAGCAGTAACATGAACTATACTAAGTTCAAATTACAGATATGTCCTTTACTCATAATTTGCTGGTGAAAATTGGTGTATGAAACTCCGTAGATGTTTTGTTTGCATATATAGAAAATTTAGTGTGTTCGTGGATATTTCATTTCGTGGTTTTACCAAGGTCTGTTTACAACTCTATGAAAAATTTGTAATTCGTTAAATATATAAATTCAAGATTTAAAATAACCACGAAATACACGAAAAATAGTATACCACGAAAAATAAAAAATCCACAGTACATCTATGAAGTACATTACACTCACGATTGTTTATCAAAGATACTAAATAAGTAGTTATGCGGAAATTATACTGCAAATAAGGCACTATTACTAACTCAATTCTATATTGATAGTCTTGTAATTGTTATAAAATACATCAAATAACATAATTAGAAACCTAATCTTTATTTACATCCATTTTTTTTAAATTTACCTGTGACGTTACTTTTTGTTGCGTTGATGCATTCGTGTGACAGACACACAGTTCGTAATCTTATTAAACTGTTTTGTGTACTGTCCTAAATTAATTTAGTTATTCGTGTGTTATTTTGTGGTAAACATGTCGAAATGTACTATTATATTATTTATTTATGTATTTCTCTGCATTTATTTGTACTATATTCCCGTCATGTAATGTTGTCATTTTAGCGGCATATGTAACATTGCCATAAAGCGCGGAGGTTTGGCTAGCCACAAAACCAGGTTCAACCCTCCATTTTTTTCTTTTTGAAAAAGTCCTGTACCAAGTCAGGAATATGGCAGTTGTTATCTAATAGTTCGTTTCTATGTATGTTGCATTTTCGTTTGTTTTTTTGTTGCACTTCGGTGCTCTGTTGTTTCGTTGTTTCCTCTTCTAGTTGATGAGTTTCCCTCGGTTTTAGTTTGTACCCCGGATTTGTTTTCTCTCAATCGATTTCTGACTTTGAAATAGCGGTATACTACGGTTTCTTTTATTTATATCCGATTTGACCATCTTTGATTTCAAAGGAATAAATCGAGTTTCTGATTATTTTACCGATACTTTGTATTGAATGTTACGTTACTAACATCTATTATTTCTTATCTCTCGTATGAAAAAAACCGTCCAGATACATAAACATGTTTTTGAATTTATCAAAAAGTCTGAGATATTTCATGTCATATGATACTGAATGATGTATTTGCGTTACATGAACATCATCTTCATTCCACATTGTTCAGTTATTAAGTCTGTCATACTATTCAATAACTTGACTGGTAAAGTATTGTATATACTGACATATCGCTTGCTCATTTTACCATTGTATTGTTTTTTTGTATTGACTGTATGCATGCTTTCTCTTGTAGCTGCCTCGTGAAAAATGTGACGCATCTTGCAATGGTTTGTATGAGTTAGAAACCAACTTTAGATGCCGCTAAAATGCCTGTAACATAGTCAACTGTCAAAATACCTAGATATTTGTATTCATTGATAGATTGCTTACAAACTGTGTGACTCTCTATCGCAAGTGAATAAGTACAGTACAATATTAATTGTACAGCAGTAATAATCCGATATCCCAATATTAATCTAATAAGAAGATTTGGTATGATTGCAAATGAAAGAAATCTCAAGCAGAAACCAAATGACCTAGACATTATAAACTATTGGTCAGCGTATGGCCTTCAACAAAACCAAAACCGAATATTAAGCTATAAAAACACCGAATTGTCAAATGCTAATCATTCAAACGACACAAAACATGGCCTGATATGATCTTGATTTACCCGTCCTCTTCAAATATTTGTATCTTATAAATTCGAACTTCAGCAAAAGGCTGCACGAATCAATATAAAAATTATTTACTGTTAATTCTTTTAACACACTATATGTGTGCTTCTATCGACAAAACCCCAGAACATTACTTCTTCGGTGTATTTGATATTCGGAGCAGCGTTGCTTTTGATATATTCATGTTCTTATAACTTGTTTAACCTGACCTGTCCATGTATTTGTTTAGATAAAATCGTTATGTATTAATATATAACATTTCCCAATCTGTAAATTAACTATAGATACAAAAAATCTCAAAAACCTGGCATCAATTTAATGTTCGGAAAAGAACAATGTTGTTTCATAATGAAATATACAATAAACATTGACGAGTTTACTGACTTGGCTTGCACAAGGCACGTACCTCTTTCTATCTTTTTTTTCCTCCTCAATAGGACTAGCATATCATGCGATATTAAAAGTTTTAAAAAACTTAATGTTTTTTTAATATATTAAACATCAAATAAGTAGTACAATGTGGTGTGATATTGTGTTGCGAGGTGAAATAAGTGTTTGCGAGATTGTTATATAAATTGGTGGCTTTACAAAAGTTGATAAACAAAACATACAATACACATTGATGCACACAAATTACTAAGGACAACGTTATTGTAATTTAAACAATTAACAATATCATAACAGACCAAAGTATACCAAAAGGAACGAGACCCAGACCAAATTACTTCACATATTAGAATTTTATTAGACTATACCATACTAAATCGTTTTCACTCGTAATAACCGACACACATGTTTGTAATGGTATATGTTTCTTTAAGAGTAAAAATAATCGTCAATGACAAATTGTATTGACACTATTCAGCGATCCCATCATTTTTTAAGTAACTATACACTTGTATTGATCTAAGTATACTTATAACAAAACAACTAATGTAACATTGCTAATGTTAAATACAGGTGAACGTGTTTTCCAACAAACAAACACATATTGGATTTTCTAATTAATGTCATTTACACTGGGTGTAAAACTATATTCTACTTTGAAGTCAAACATGGTATTTGCCTGATAATTTTCTACATAGGTTCGTTGTTTTCAACAAAACAATTAAATCGTGACGCTCTTAATCTATATACATTCTGAAATATTTAGTAACTGTACACTTATTTTATCACATACTGTTTACGTAATTCAGTCTGAAATACCTAAGCTATCTGACGAACATGATTTACAATAGTAAAAAAGAATATAAATTATCTCTTAGATGGAAACTGAAAAAAACAATTGTTACTGTAAAATCATCGTCTATAAATTTATATATCCTTAGTACATTGATGAGTATGTTTTAACGGGGGGAAATGGGTCTAGCTAATAATAATATACCCCGAGTTCAAACACTATGGCTTTTCCATACATGCGCATGATGTTTGATGTTTGATGAAAGTAAGATATGTGGTCACTTTAAATTAGAACTCTCACAACTTGTAATCGCATTGATATTTTAATTCGCTGCTTATAAAACTTTGACATATTAGGGATGTTTTACCTCAGAAATAGATTACCAGTTTGTTGGTCAACAATTGTCTTCAACTACATTTAGACATTTACCTTGTTTGATTCGAGCGTCACTGACGAGTCTGTTCTAGACGAAAAGGGCGTCTGGCGTACGTAGTTATAAGCCTGGTATATCAAATAACTTTGTTTTTTCGCACTGTATGAATCATTGTATTTATTAACCTTCAGTCCCATCTTTAATTTATCATTCGAATTTTGAAGAATCCGATATATTAGATGAGAAGCAACAGTGGTATAATGGTGTCCAAATGAAAAATTCCTTAATATGATAACACTAACAAAAATAGGAAAAACACAGGCTTACATACAATAAAACCGAGGCAATCTAAAGAATTCAAAAAGGAAGGGCGAAAGGATGCCTTAAGAAGCTTGCAATCCCTGAGTAGGTATCGCTTATTACAAAATAAAAAAGAAAAAGAAACTAGAATCTTTATTCTTGGTTTAACTTTCATTTCAGATTTTATTTTATTTTTTTACAAGTAGCGATCTTTAAAAAAAAACCAGGAATGTAATGTTTGACTTGAATATTGTAAATTCACTATGCATTTAGTATAAATTGTCTCATGTATTGTTATGTTTATGTTTGTCAATAGGGTTAGGCAGACTTGAAAAGGAACAATCTCCATCGAACAAACATCTAAGGAGACTTGCTTCTAGTCTTGAAGTTAAAGAATGTCGAGAATTATTGATAAGACTTGGATTAGACACAAACGTTTTGAATGATTTACAGGAAAAATTTGCTCCCTCTGCTTTTCATGTAAATGATTTCAAATACACAGCCATGTCAATATGGAAGACAAGCGTGACTGATTCGTCCTTCAAGACCATTGAAGATGAGTTTGGTGAAATAGACAAACACTTACTTTGTGAGGTATGAATAAGCATAAGCTGCCTTTCGTATCACCAATTTTATAGTTAGTTACAGACAATTAAAGCATAACACAAACTAAAAGTCCAGTTCACACAGTGTGCACATCGTAAACAGCCATTTAGAGATGTAGTATGAGAGCAAACGCGAAAACTATCAGATAAAGGTCAAAAGATTAGAATGTGAACAAGTGCATTTTACATTATCGCCCTCAACAATGACCGAAACTCAAACACCATAGTAATCTTTTAAACGCACAGACTTGATAAGATGTTAAACAATCAATAGCCAATAGCTAGAAATCTAACAGATTGGTGTTTACTGAATATTTACACAATATCAATGATGGCTGAAAGTTGACTACTACAACCAATTGATTACAAATCCAGGTTGGAACAGTCACACAAGAAAAATGTGGCGAGTAACACTATATTTGTGAGCTCTTAACATTCCCCTCAGCCTAAAACATAAGTGTAACAGCTTAATGTACGAACAAACAGTTTGTGAGTTCTCAATATTCCACTCAACCTCAAACACTTATGTACCAACATAATTTCAGAAACAACAGTTTGTGAGTTCTCGAAATACCACTCAAACTTAAACATTGATGTAACAATCCAATGTAAGAACAAATAGTTTGTGAGTTTGCAGCATTTTACTCAACCTCAAACAGTGGTGTAACAACACAAATTCATAAACAACAGTTCGTGAGTTCTCAACATTCCGCTCAACCTCAAACATCGGTGTGACAACACAATGTAAAAAACCGCATGTAATAAGTTATCATCATTCCACTCAAACTTAAACCGTGATATAACAACAAAATGTAAGAACAATCAGTTCGAGAGTTCTCAACATTCCACTCAATCTTAAACCACGATTTAACAACACAATGTTAGAACAATCCGTAAAAAATCTCAGAGAAATCCATTCGATTCATTGATGTTCCTTCTCAGCACACACACAACTAATAACAATACAGTATTTGCTAAAGGCTTATTCAAACCAATTATTACCTAATAAATTCACGGTATTGCCAACACTTATTCCTAGCCTTAGTTTCAGACAACAGTAGTTTATCCATGTTCAAATTTCAATAATCCGACAAGGACAAGTAAATACAACACAATCTCGTTGACTCATAAAAGAACTAAACCAAGTGCGTCAACAGGTGAAGTGTCTCCTGGTATGCCGTGCATCAACCGCTATACCAATCATCACTCAGTTAAAGTGAAACAGTCAATTAATTCAATATGTTTGTTCTTCACTAATAAATTTGCCCAATCTAAAGTTACGATTGATACACCGCTACCATATGTAGTGTCAAGTCGCTAGTAGCAGTCTTAGAACAGCATAATCTTCTTGAATGCCAAAATATTAGTATAGACAGGATTAAGTCCCTAAGTGTTAAGCACAGGATAGCGAATAGAAATGCTTACTAATGGATTTAACGCGTTCGAAACAATGTTTTATAAGGAATGGTCAATACCGGACACTTTAAAAGCCAAGAATGTGTAAATCCGGAATACCAAAGACTGACGGGTATCCAAATTTCATTTAAGTCAACTGTACCTGATAGAATCTTATTTCATTATACTCTATAAACTGCTCAACGGATATTTTCAGAATAATATGGTCTAGGGCATGTCAGTACCGAAACACGGACTTACTAGTTGAATGTGAAAATATCACTTTATATCAGATGTGGATACTAAAAAATTCCAAAGATCTTTTAGAGTACATACAATCTAAGACTCTCTCATCTTGCAATAGTATAAAAACATTTGACTTTTCTACACTTTACACAAGTATTCCCCATTCCAAACTAAAAGACAAATTGAAAGAGTATCTTGTCTTGGGGAGGGATAAATCCTACTTTGTAAAGAATCACTCTAATTCAAACAAAAAATTCTCTGAAACTGACATTATCAAGATGCTTGATTTCTTGATTGACAACAAATTTGTCACGTTTGGAGGAGGTGTTTTTCAACAGACTGTCGGTATTCCAATGGGAAACAATAGTGCCCCTCTTCTTGTCGACTTGTTTCTTTATTATTATGAGGCTGACTTCATACAGGAACTTCATAGGAAGAAAGATAAGAAGTTAGCACTATCGTTTAACTTTACTTTCCGCTATATAGATGATGTTCTCTCACTAAATAATTCAAAATTTGGTGACTAAGTTGAACTATCTATCCCATCAAACTAGAGATAAAGGATACAACCGATACAGTTAAATCTGCCTCATATCTTGACTTACATCTAGAAATTGACAATGAGGGTCGGTTGAAAACAAAACTTTACGACAAACGAGATGATTTCAGCTTCCCAATTGTGAACTTTCCATTTCTATGTAGCAACATTCCAGCAGCGCCTGCATACGGAGTATATATCTCCCAATTGATACGATATTCCCGGGCTTGTATTTCCTATCATGATTTCCTTGATAGAGGGTTGCTGTTTACAAGGACGCTATTAAACCAAGAGTTCCAAATGGTGAAGTTGAAATCATCCCTTCGTAAATTTTACGGACGCCATCACGAGTTTCACAGATGATATCGGATATGTTCATTATGTCGCAACTACAATCCAATTCCCTTTTCACCACGAATGTGACCTACCGAATTAGACTATTTACCAGGTTTGTAAAAATATAAGCAACACGACGGGTGCCACATGTGGAGCAGGATCTGCTTACCCTTCCGGAACACCTGAGATCACCCCCAGTTTTTGGTGGGTTTCGTGCTGCTTAGTCTTTATTTTTCTATGTTTTGTCTTTTGTACTATTATTTGTCTCTTTGTCTTATGTTTTAGCCATGGCGTTGTCAATTTATTTTCTATGAGTTTGACTGTTCCTCTTGTATCTTTCGCCCCTCTTTTATAGATATATATGGGCCGTCACACGCTGTTGCTTTGATGAACATTATCATGCAATACATCATTTCAGTAGCTTTGAATCATGGTGAGAGATTGATGGATCAATCCTGCTTTGTACTAGACTAACATACTGGGCTAGTTTCAATGAGCTAGTTCACAGGGTAAAAGTCCACAGGAAGACATATCACGTAGCCCAGACACATTATTCTGACGCCAAGCCAACCAGTCTTTAATCATACCCCTAAAGGCCGCATGCTTAACGAAGAAGCAGCATCTACCAAATTACATGTCGTTGGCTTGACCTGGACGGGTTTGAACCCACGACCTCTTGTACTAGACACTGCACGCTACAACGAGCCTATCGAGGCAATCAATTTCGATGAGTGTTTTGTATTCTAGATTGCACGTCTTTTACACAACATGACGTTATACGATTATAATGAACAGACATGTAATTTCGTGCGTGAAAAATGTATCATGCGACCTATGGTATAACAGATTAGTTCATTTTTTTTCCTTCAAGGGAACGACACATATTGTGTGAATAACATACATCTAACCTGCGTATTCCTTTGTATGTTATAGTTTGTTTTATTATTTACCAAAAGGTATGTCAATAATCGTGTGTTGTTTTTATGGATAACAATGTTCATCCCTTTAATTTCAGGTGAATAGAGATGTAAATGTGGATGACGTCCTGAAGAAATTTAGTGAGTGTAAATAATATGTATGCTTTTTAAGAATATTGTGTTAGACCAGTTTTGTCGAATTTGCAAATATTCACATTGTAACACATTAAGAATTCGGTAGCCATGTAAACAAAATAAGCAAAGACGATATTCGATTAACGAAACAATTTAAAAAGCAACATTACCACTGCAGGGTAATTCCTAAGCAATACAAATTCTAACAAAATCAAAAGTAAAATCAGATGCTACGATAAATCTAGTAAAACATTTAACTGAACACTGTCAGTACATCAAGGTGCACTTTTCTGATGGTAAATTGTTGTTTTTCCTCATCGGATTTAGAAACATAATGTTGTAACAATTTCCAGGGTCGTCAACTGGTTGGTTTGAATAGTACAAAAACAAATGTAAGGTGGCATTATTGTAGATGACCAGCAGTTAATATCAGGTTGTAAATATACTTTCACAAAATGACACTGCAGTCACATGTATATTTTGTTTGTTTTATGCATCTACATATCTGACAACTCTTCGACCGACATTGCCAATCGAATACTTTTGGGTTGTACAAGGCTATTACCAAAAATAACGTATACTTCATCAGATGTAACCAAACAAATTAAGGATCTTGCACAATAACTCAAATGGCAAAATCAAAAGTTCAAACGCATCAAACGAATGGACAACAACTGTCATATTCCTGACTTGGTACAGGCATTTTCTTAAGTAGAAAATGGTGGATTAAACCTGGTTTTATAGCTGGCTAAACCTCTCACTTGTATGACAGTCGCATAAGATTCCATTATATTGACAACGATGTGTGAACAAAACAAACAGACTAAATAGGTAAAACAGTCAAAATAGGGGTACAGCAGTCCACGTTGTGCCATTATCCCAAACACTATAAATACAGACAGATATATAAACAAACATTTACCATGACACAATAACACATTGACGGGATGTTTAAATACAGAGCCACGTCACATGCAAGAAAGAAATTGAAAAGGCACACAGACAAAGCACACCAGTAAAAACGAAAGACAAGAATACAGAAATTATCATAGAACAAAGTGCACATGAAGTGGTGTGACAAGGGGTTTAATATCGAACATCATGTTTACAAGGCCTATGAGTGAATCATTTTTATGCATTTTTTGGTAATTAAATTCAATACAATATTGATTCGTCAACATTATATATCAAGAGAGGATGAATTTATGTTTCGGATAAACCCGTTTGGCATTTTAGGTCCTAAATGCTCTTCGAC